TACAATCGCGATTGCAATTGAAAGCAATAACTTCGCGATTGAAAGCAGTAACACAATGGTTCGGGGCAAGTTTCTAGGGCATATTTTTTGTTTATTTACATATTTTGTCTGTTTAGAACTTCGAGTGCTAATTACAGTTTGTAATAAAAGCCTTACGCGCCGCCACTGAAGTCAGGACAGAAACTGTCACTGATATTAAAATGTATAATGTTTTAAAAAACTAAAAATACATGCAAGCAGCAACCCCCTCGCTATTTCAAAGCAAGCACGCAATTTCCTGAACTAACTTGACCTAAGCTTATATTGTGAAATGACCCAATAGTCAAATCAGTTTTTACCATTCGGTACCAAGGTAGTCATAAAGTGTAAACATTGACCGTTTACTTTTTGGTGCATTATGCCATGAAGCCGCCAATAGTGTCTGGTAGATATATTGAGACAGTGGTACGCGTAGGCGTAGATGACTTTAAGTTTATGAAGGAAACAAAATTAGAGATGCATAATACAGATAATTAGACTTACCTAGCAGAAAAACACGTTGTAAATTTTGCTATTAAAATAGAAATTTAATTTTAACAGTTAATGAAACAATTAAATTAAAATATCCCCGCCAACATGAGTAGAACTTTACAGTAGTGTCAATCAATATGCACTTTATGTGCAAATGAAAGTGGTAATGCATGTTATTACACCGGCCGCGCAAGGAGTCTAGGACAATGGGCAAGAATAAATGTATTTAATGAACATTTACATGTCTTACGGCGAGCGAGATATACAAAGCTAAGCAATTTCGCACACGAATATCCACAGTTCTTCACTACTATTAGATTAGATTGAAAACAAAATGGCGCACTCTTAATTCTTATTGGAATCATATGTTATTTAATTTCTATATATTATGTTCAGAATGTATAGAGTTCGCTTGATTTACGTTCAAAGGAAGCAACAATAAAATTTCAGACACACGTATACAAATTAACACGTACAAGTAACCACGTTCTACAGTAACCACGTTCTCTTTTTTCATTATATAGGCACCAACGAAATTTTTGTTCGCACCAGATTTCCAAGGTAAAAGCCCCAGATTCTCATTTTAAACAAAAGCAAGATAAGTTTGAAAGTTGTTATAGTTGCCACGGGAAGGGAAAATATGATATAGTAATTATACTTTGTACCGATTCTGAGGTAGTTGCTCACACGCAGTTCTTCTAAGAAACAATATACGCGTTGTTTTATTAGTCACAGAAGCCTAAATTTAGAGGGATTAGCCGGAAAAACGAATATCGACTAAATTATTCCGGATCTTCGGTTTGCACAAAATTATCACGAAAGATTTGCGTTCAGGCTTTTCCAGGAGCAATCTGGGAAGCTGGGAAGCACGAGGGAAATAGAAATGCGCGGGAAATAATTATTTCAATTAAATTTAACAGAAAATTTTCAATAAGAACACATTATTTGACTATCGTCTACACGTAACCACTATATTTCTACTATACAATTCTTCTTCTTCATTCTTACACATGCAACCTGGAAGCAGGGCTCTCACATTTTAAATATGCAGACTTTTACTGTGTGGTAGCATGCTTTATAATACCCGAGACAAATAACATTTGAAAAGAAAATATTAAATATTCCTCCCTCCCCTGGATAGAGTCAAGCTTTCTAAGGAAATTTTCTAAGAAACGAGAACGCTGCCTAGAAGTGCGAAGAACAAAAGAACGCAGGCTCACGTACGCCTCTGCGTACCAGCTTTTCTCTATTTGACGTTATGTAAAAGTGTATCGCCTGTATTCTAACGCTTACTCATACTCGAACTCATTAAGTGCATGGGAATCTTCTTAATTACGCCACTGCGATACCTTCGCGGTAGTTCCACTCTATAATAAACATACTTGCAGGAAGGGGAGAACGTGCTTAACGCACGGGGGAGGCTGGGAGTTTCTCGGGAAACGTCCAGCCTCCCAAGTCCTGAGGTGCGTTAATCACAGAATCATCAAACCTGCAATTATGTTCATAGTTTTTATCTCATGTCTTTTCGGGAAAAAGTGTTCAGAAAGTTACGAAAAATTCAAAAATTTTTGTTGAACAAACGAACATTTTAGTCACAAACATGCAACGTAAACAGACAAATTTACGCTCGAATTAAAGCTAAAAAAATCTAAAATGCTCCCTTATTTACGAAAGAGAAAATGCACATATTTTGCGAAAAAATTGCCAAGGTTTACTGATTTTGCCGAACAATTTTCGGCGGCCATCTTGAAAATCCCGAACTCACCGTAGAGCTCGAAAAAAGCTTACCTGCTCGGAGCTAATGAGAATGTCAGCTTGACAAGAAAGGACTATCTCATTTTACAAGATTTTACAAGAAAGGACTATCTCACTATTAAATCAGTGAAAAATCAATTTCTACGTACACGTAATGAGTGTGAGATAGCTTTTTGAATACAGAGGTATATATATATATATATATATATATAATATATAATTATATTATATATATATATATTATATATATATATATATATATATATATATATATATATGTATCACAGGCACCCTATCAGGCTACCAGCATATATTTTAACGGGATAATAGGGATGTTTTAAAAGAATAAAAGGATAGATCAAAAATTGCCCCGCTGTGCAATATGGTCACCAGATTTTAGGTATCAATCATTGTCATCCATCTACGCGTCAAAGTAAGCTCATGATATGTAATTTGAAACTTTGTGTTGCGGTAGTCGCGAATAGACAATATTGCTGCTCAGGCCAGAGAAAATCATTCCTTATCGACGTTCAAATGCAATGTGATCGACACTTGAGGTACCATTTTATAGCATGTATTTGTATGAACAGTATATAGCGTTTTGGTCGGATATTTTCATTTTTTGCAACTGATTTGTGAGTACTTTCGTTTATATAACACTTCTTGTTGTAGTTCAGATATGTTTCGAAATAGTCATTTGAGGGGTCATAAATATGACAGAACCTAAAAACAACATTCACGTTCAAATATCTACAGTATTTGCGCCATAGACGAGCCATGTAATTGGATAATTTTCGATAATTCATCAACCTATCCTTATATAGGTCTAAACCGTGACCATACGAACGGACAGGTATTTTAAAAAATCGGGTGTTCGTCGATTTTATTCTTTTACTTTGTATATACAAATTGTAGACGATTTGACCTCTTCAATTTGCTATAATCTGAGTAATGCAAATTGTAGTGTCACTAATTCGAAAGATTTAATAAAAGCGTTGTACTTGAATGTGTGTGGTAGAAAGGCACGAAGTTATGCTAGTGCAGTTGGTTTGACGCGACGACGTGCTTCACTATCTCAAAATTTCCCAACTTAACATTCGCTAATTCATAATTTCTTCTAAGAAAGGGACAATAAAGGTCGGCAATGCATGTAGGCTAATAGCTTTCATATAATATATTTTATGAAAATTGTGTAATGTTTTAGAATATTTTCATAATGTTTCGTGTATTGCTAGTTTCATATTCGCCTAAATAACGGTCGGCAATGCATGACAAAACACATTGATTCTAGGCTTTCATAATACATTTTATGAAAGGTGTGTAACTGCTGTTTCATATATTCGCCTAATTATAAATTCCCACCGGTACGTGAAATAAACTCTTTGCTTTAATGTCTAGATGCTAGCAGTGTGTACGTATCTAAAAACACACACAAGTCTTAAACGAAATTTATTCTTGTTAAGGTTGCCAGGGCCCAGGACTGTCAAATGTCGACAATTATACAATCGCGATTGCAATTGAAAGCAATAACTTCGCGATTGAAAGCAGTAACACAATGGTTCGGGGGCAAGTTTCTAGGGCATATTTTTGTTTATTTACATATTTTGTCTGTTTAGAACTTCGAGTGCTAATTACAGTTTGTAATAAAAGCCTTACGCGCCGCCACTGAAGTCAGGACAGAAACTGTCACTGATATTAAAATGTATAATGTTTTAAAAAACTAAAAATACATGCAAGCAGCAACCCCCTCGCTATTTCAAAGCAAGCACGCAATTTCCTGAACTAACTTGACCTAAGCTTATATTGTGAAATGACCCAATATAGTCAAATCAGTTTTTACCATTCGGTACCAAGGTAGTCATAAAGTGTAAACATTGACCGTTTACTTTTTGGTGCATTATGCCATGAAGCAGGTAGTAGAAAGACTTAAATTTATATATTTGCCAATGTTTAGATACAATTAGATACGATGTTTTGGGCCGGCGGGGGGCACATTTGATTTCTCAGTTTTGTACGTATACCTTTTTGAAAAAAATAAACGGATTAATCCATCGTGCAGAACAGAATATATGGATACGCGCATGCCCTACCCAAATTATCTCGCAAGTTTCGGCCCTGAGTCCGCCCAAATGTTCTTCCGGGAAACCCAGGTGTATTCGGAAAAATAGCTCAGGTGGATTCGAAAAGGAGATAAAGAAAACTAAACAAACTGAACAACCCTTAAAAAATATTCTAAATAGAAAATTTAAGGAATTCATTAGCTTATATCGACATTAAGAAAAATAAACTCAATTATTTAAAGCGGATTGCTTAAACCCCAAAAGCGGTACAATCAGAGCACTGATTTCTAAGAACACTTAAAAAATCTCTATGATATGATCGACCTGTCAAAAAAGGGAGAGAGTTTAATTCACTCCTTTCAAATGTTCTGTGTCTCTAATTTTTATAAAGCATCTTCCAAACCAGCATGCGTACGATATTTGTGACACCTTTCTGCACTAGAGTTCTGCATCTCTAGACTAATACAAGAATTACATAATGTTACATGCTGTCTTCAATATATGTGCTTAACCTTTTCTTTAGTGAATAAATACAATATTGAAACAATATTTTTCAGGGTACACTCACATTTTTACATGCACTATAGTGAAAAATATTTGTCTGCTGTGACAACAAGTTTCATATTTACTTTCTTTTTAAATCAGAAGCCATACAAGTTGCTAAGATGAAGAAGAACCATGGCGGAATCGCAAAATTTCACTGAAATGACTCAAAAGTTTGACATTACATCAACATCGGTAGATAGAAGTATTTTGCTCTCTATCAATAGTGAAAATGTCCAAATGGTCGGAGGCGTGAGTCTCAATATCAATGGAGCAAGACTACGAGATGTCTACCGCAGTAGTAAAGTTGTAATGAAAGTAATCGACGATGCTATTTTGAGAGGTTTTGGTGGCACCAGGCATGATCAAGAGGTTCAGAATGTCGACCCAGAGTATATTCTTGTAATCATGCACTGCTCTACAGATGAAAGATTTATTGACGTGTTGTCGAATTATGACTCAGGAAGAATGATAAATCGAATGCAAGAAGAATTTGCAAAGATTGGCCTTGACGTAAGAGAATTGGAAATTAAGATCGAAAACTTGAAAGAAGTGAACACACAGAAAACCAGGATTTTGAGGTATTTGGCATTTACTTGATAAAAATGTGACAGTAGCGAAATTAAATCAGAATAGAACTTTTTCCTTGGATACTGCATGTCTTAACAAACGTGTACCTCTATGAACCCTATCATCTAGCTAAAAGAGGAGTCTTTCGTACCCCTTAACATGATATCAATCATTTTCATAATGGTAGATACGATAAGCAAAGAAGTGCATTTTTGCAACACTAATTTGGCTACAGTTAGCTGTACCATGCTATTATATGATTGAAGACAAATTTTAAGGACAAACATGAATTGGTAGTTGATTTCTGAATACCTTAAAAATGTTCTTTTACATGCAGTGTATCTTAAAATCACCGGTTCTGCAGGAATCAATTTTTAAGTGGATTTCTTGCCCGAAATGTTTAAAAAAGTGTCATTAAAGACAAATGTGCAGACTTTAAAATGAGATAATTCTCCGTTAATTTAGGAATCCTCTGTGGGACACACTGCATGTATAGGCATTTATACGTATAAAACCCTTTCAGCAACCAGGTAATGACAACTGGCTCCGGCAATGTCTTTTTTTCGCATACTATACTATGATTAACTTATAGAGTGTAGCATCATAGTTTTGATTGTCAATCGATTTAATAGCTCAACTGCATGATTTTTGGGAAAATCGTACTTAATTTAAGGCGCTTTTTACATTATGGCGGTTAGCAGATATTCAACGAAGCGTTTTCCGGCTATAAATACTATTTGTAACTAACATTATCCAATTCATCAGAGCAAGTTTGTCTGGAAAAAATTTGAATTTACGCAGAAAAATCATTTTTATCGCTGTAGTACGCAGTAGTCCATTGCTTTACCTAGTACACTTTCCCACCTTTCAGGCTTAACAACAATATAATTTCATTTCGTTTATTATAAGCAAACGCATTCTTTGAGGGATATTAGGGATTAAATGTCCCACAAACAGGGAGGTTTAGCAAAGGACGTTTAACATGCGTTTAGTTTGTAATAACATGGTCGCCGAGGGAAAAAACAATAAATTAGATGGTTTTGTTTAGCGAGATATCTTTATGGAAGTGGTTCAGTGATTAGAATATTTATATCCGCCATCTCTGTACTTGGGGGAAATACGTCGTTTAACGTCCCTGTTGAAACAAAAGAACCGAGGCGACCATGTTATTGCATAAATAAATATGCTTATATGCTTATAGGCAGCGTTCAGATTAACGCTTGTATTCTAAAAGCTCACTCACACTCAAACCCATTGAGTGGGAGATCCTAATCTTCTCATCATGTTTCAATGGCGGTATCTCCAGCCGAAAAGTGGCTTGATTTTCAGTGATTTACCTTTACCTAATGAAAGAAAACTTTCTCATTGACCAGCATTAACAAAATTTATATGCCACACTCAATGAGTATAAGTGTGAGTGAGCTTTTTGAATACAGGCATAAGTCAGTGACCGAGGCAATTTTGCCCGGCACTTTTTCTGGCGCCAAAGTTGAACATGATCGCCTCCAAATGAAATTGGCCACGGTGCCCAAGAACGGGCACAACCTCCAGAGGTAGTAGTCAACAATGGATCTGTGATCAGCATGTTTCGACTTTGGGTACCGGTGCCGGGCACTTAATTACCAGAATAAATCATCCCTCCACTTTCTTATTGGTGGTCCTAATATAAAAAGTCGGTTCAAAAATACCCAAATTCCTCCGATACTTGGAACGCGTGCACAAGGTAATCGCGGTAGCGCGTTTTAGCTAACACACGAAATTGCTCCGGATTCCTCCCACTAAAATTATAACCATAAAAATCCTTGCGAGTATGAAAATAAACGTTACGTTCACTTCTTAATTAAAATAACTGATTTTGCGCAGATCAAGTGCTATGAACAATCCTTGTGATGGGATGAAAGATCTTGCCATAGCTGATGAGAAGACGTGTAATAATGGTAACGAGGTAAGTAGACAGGGGCGTGTTGGGGTGGGTGCAAGCAAGGTGGTTGGTTAAACGCGTTTGTCGGTATCCTATAAAGGCACACGAGCATCGGTAATAATAACATTTAATTTAACGAAAATCGATATCTGGGTAGATTCCCACCGTTGTCAAGATAATTTTTCAGCTTTTTTGGGCATTTTTTTTCATGGCAATTTCTGCCATTAAGTGGGGACAATATCTGAAATATTACATCATAAATAACTGAAAAGAAAAATTATTTTCTTAGACCAAAACGAAAATCGTAACCAACAACTGGCATTCAGTACTGGCATCAAAACAAAAAGATCTTGAAATTACACAGAAGCTTTACGGTGAAAATCATCTCAAAACAGCACAAAGTTACTACGATATTGGAGTGGCAAAAGGAAAGTGTCAGGATTACATGTCAGCATTAGAATTTCATCAACGTGCTTTACAAATCAGATTGAAGCTGAATGGAGATGACACTGGAGATAGTTATCATGAAGTTGGTGTGGCACAACACATGTTGAAAGAGTATAAATCTGCATTAACATCATACATGCATGCCCTTGAAATAAAACTGAAACTGCATGGAGAGAATCATTCATCTACTGCCTCAACCTATAATAGAATTGGAGTCACACAATACAAAATGAAAAACTACAAATCATCATTAGAATCGTTTCAACGTGCCCTTGAAATCAGATTAAGAGTGTTTGGCGAGAATAATTTATCTACTGCAACGACTTATTCCAACATTGGCGTCACACAACATGAAATGAAAGATTACAAGTCAGCATTAGAATCGCATCAACGTGCTTTACAAATCAGATTAAAGCTGAATGGAGAACACCATAGTGACACTGGAAATAGTTATAACTGGGTTGGTCTTGAACAACATTTCTTGAAAGATTACAAATCAGCTTTAGCATCATATCAACATGCCCTTCAGATCAGATTAAAACTGTTTGGAGAGAATAATTTATCGACTGCAGTGGCTTATTACAATATTGGAGTCACACAACACAAATTGAAAAATTACAAGTCCGCATTAGAATCACATCAACGTGCTTTACAAATCAGATTGAAGCTGAACGGAGAACATCGAAGTGACATTGGAAATAGTTATAACTGGGTTGGTCTTGAACAAGATTGTTTGGAAGATTACAAATCAGCTTTAGCATCTTACCAGCAAGCCCTACAGATCAGATTAAAACTGTTTGGAGAGAATGATTTATCTACTGCAATGTCTTATTTCAATATTGGAGTCACACAACACAAAATGAAAGATTACAAGTCAGCATTAGAATCGCATCAACGTGCTTTACAAATCAGATTAAAGCTGAATGGAGAACAGCATAGTGACATTGCTGATAGTTATAATGAAGTTGGTCTTGAACAAGAATGCTTGAAAGATTACAAATCAGCTTTAGCATCTTACCAGCAAGCCCTACAGATCAGATTAAAACTGTTTGGAGAGAATGATTTATCTACTGCAATGTCTTATTTCAATATTGGAGTCACACAACACAAAATAAAAGATTACAGGTCCGCATTAGAGTCACATCAACGTGCTTTACAAATCAGATTGAAGCTGAACGGAGAACACAATAGTGACATTGGAAACAGTTATCGTGAAGTTGGCGTTGAACAACATTGCTTGAAAGATTACAAATCAGCATTAGCATCATATCAACACGCCCTCCAGATAAGATTACAACTGTTTGGAGAGAATAATTTATCCACTGCAATGACTTATTTCAATATTGGCGTCACACAACATGAAATGAAAGATTGCAAGTCAGCATTAGAGTCACATCAACGTGCTTTACAAATCAGATTGAAGCTGAACGGAGAACACAATAGTGACATTGGAAACAGTTATCGTGAGGTTGGCGTTGAACAACATTGCTTGAAAGATTACAAATCAGCATTAGCATCATATCAACACGCCCTCCAGATAAGATTACAACTGTTTGGAGAGAATAATTTATCCACTGCAACGACTTATTTCAATATTGGCGTCACACAACATGAAATGAAAGATTGCAAGTCAGCATTAGAATCGCATAAACGTGCTTTACAAATCAGATTAAAGCTGATTGGAGAACATCATAGTGACACTGGAAATAGTTATAACTGGGTTGGTCTTGAACAAGAGTGCTTGAAAGATTACAAATCAGCTTTAGCATCATATCAACACGCCCTCCAGATAAGATTAAAACTGTTTGGAGAGAATAATTTATCCACTGCAACGACTTATTTTAACATTGGCGTCACACAACATGAAATGAAAGATTACAAGTCAGCATTAGAATCGCATCAACGTGCTTTACAAATCAGATTAAAGTTGAATGGAAAACACCATAGTGACACTGGAAATAGTTATAACTGGGTTGGTCTTGAACAACATTTCTTGAAAGATTACAAATCAGCTTTAGCATCATATCAACATGCCCTTCAGATCAGATTAAGACTGTTTGGAGAAAATAATTTATCCACTGCAGAGGCTTATAACAATATTGGAGTCACACAACATGAAATGAAAGATTACAAGTCAGCATTAGAGTCACATCAACGTGCTTTACGAATCAGATTGAAGCTGAACGGAAAACACCATAGTGACAATGGAAAAAGTTATCGTGAAATTGGCCTTGAACAACGCAATTTAAAAGATTACAAATCAGCATTAGAATCATATCAACATGCCCTCGAGATCAATTTAAAACTTTTTGGAGGGTATCATCCCCAAACTGCGGAACTTTATCGCCAAATTGGAGTCACACAACACAGCAAGCACACAATGGAAGGTTACAAGGCAGCCTTAGAATCATATGAGAAAACTCTTCGTATCAGATTACAAATATTTGGTGAGCGTCATGTTGATACTACTCAAAGTTATCAGGATATTGGACTCGTACAAGACGCAATGAAAAATTGCAAATGAAACGGATATTTAGTTTATTTCCAGTGGATAATTCCATGTGAAGTAAACGAAGGTATTCTATACATAAGTAAAAACTTCATGAAACTAATTCTATAGTTGCAGGGCATACAATGCTTTGTCAGATTGCCGCCTATAGTGTCTGGTAGATATATTGAGACCGTGGTACGCGTAGGCGTAGATGATTTTAAGTTTATGAAGGAAACAAAATTAGAAATGCATAATACAGATAATTAGACTTACCTAGCAGAAAAACACGTCGTAAATTTTGCCCTTAAATTAGGAATTTAATTTTAACAGTAAATGAAACAATTAAATTAAAATATCCCCGCCAACATGAGTAGAACTTTACAGTAGTGTCAATCAATATGCACTTTATGTGCAAATGAAAGTGGTAATGCATGTTATTACACCGGCCGCGCAAGGAGTCTAGGACAATGGGCAAGAATAAATGTATTTAATGAACATTTACATGTCTTACGGCGAGCGAGATATACAAAGCTAAGCAATTTCGCACACGAATATCCACAGTTCTTCATTACTATTAGATTAGATTGAAAACAAAATGGCGCACTCTTGATTATACTGGAATCATATGTTATTTAATTTCTATATATCATGTTCAGAATGTATAGAGTTCGCTTGATTTACGTTCAAAGGAAGCAACAATAAAATTTCAGACACGCGTATACAAATTAACACGTACAAGTATCCACGTTCTACAGAAACAACAAATGAATACAATGTACATTGTATTTCTTGAACGAGTTTGCATCGTTTTGCGTTTCCCCTAAACTGAAAACATGACCGAACTACAAAATGCTCTACGCCGCTGGTTTTGACACCCGACTACATTTAGATAATTGCAGGGCTAGAATACGATAACAAGCAATTCAAATTCAAGGCCGTCATTTGGTTTGTAGGAGCCAGCAGTGTCAAAAAGATCTTTCTCATAATAACGACGTCAAACGCGCGATTGTAACGAACAGAAAGTTTGATTGACTCCACAAAACTAGTGAGCCAATCAAACGTCTTGTACGTCAGATTTTCCGACGTCATTATTAAAAACGTCATTGTTATGAATAATTAGATAATCTGCGTGCGTGATCCTGTGGTATTACATTGCTACAACAACATTCGTTTCTAGTGACTAGTAATGGGCGTATTGTTTTGAATAGTTACATCATGTGCGTGCGTCATTTCTTAAGCCCGGCTTACAGGGCTGAAAATTCATCCCGGTATTGTTATGAAATGCCAAAAAAGTATACCTCGCGATTATATGACAATAATTTTAGCTCGGTTTAAGCTACCTGGGCTGCCGGGCTGAAACTAAGTGTTGTTGTCATGTAATCGTAAACAAACGTAAACCCAGACAGAAATATTCGCTTTGACAATGCTTTTTCTTTTGTCTATTTTACCTTTATGTGCAATCATTGCCTCTTAAAGGATACTTAAGGAGTTATTTGCCGTAGCGAAAAATAAGTTTATTGCTTGCGTGTATTATTACTAGTTTATTTGTAGTTTGTAGATAACGTTATAGCTATATAGGGTAGCGCACGCGTAGAGCAATGGAGGGAAACTCGTTTGTAAACTGGCCTATCTATAGATTTGAGTGCAGGAAAACTTTGTTACGTTTTGGAGAACGTGCTCTCCTGATTTACTCCTACCGGAATTAGAAAGTTCAAGGCTATTTGCACTTTGCTACAGTTATAAGTAATATTCCTCTCACGTGCATTGAGCATGTTTCACGTGCACATTTAGCATACCTACATAAAGCGATCCGAAAGGTTCAAGGTCATTTTATATTTGATCTCGTCGAAGCAATTTCGGAAGTTTTCACCCGATCCTCCCTCCCTTTCTCTAGGTTATGAGCTACGATAATTTCTGTGTAATTATGATGGTGTGGGCGTTTTTTATCACCCCACCTTTTCTGTGCTGTACTAAAATACGAACACTGTAACAATTAGCTATAATTTGTTACTTTTGGTTGAATTAAATCGGCATGTGCTCTGGCACATTGCCATTATTTTATCCAAAAAGTGTTATTGTTCATTGCAGTTGCATGCCTTTAATTTGCCCAGAAAACAGAGCTCACAAGTTTCGGAAACCGCCAGCACTTCCTATAGGGTTTGTAGTTGAAACGGAAGCGATAAAGGTCAAGTTATTGTCATTTGGGATTTTAAAGCGCTAGAATCGAAATAGGTCTACTACCAGCCTTTACAAACTCAGCCCGGTCTTAAAATAATTCTGAAGCGTAATAAACACAGCCCGAGCTAAAAAGACGCCATCCCATCCAGCCCATAAGTTATAGCACAAAATGAAAAAACATGGCGCGTCAGCTTTTTTTAATTATTCAGTCATGCTGCAGCATCGGTTCTAATCAATATCGCGTAACCATTTATAAATGCGGTCTGCCATATTTACAAATATAAAATAACCATTGAGTCTTTGTACGATCCTTTGAATTCCATGCATTACGGATGCAAGCCTGGTAGTCATCCTGACATGTGTGGATTGTGTTATAATAAAGATGTTTCTACGAAATTCAATCAAGAAGGCCCTAGTCGTTTTATTCAACACCAGGGCACCATTATATAACTGGAGTTTACCGTAGACACAAGGTAAGTATAGAATTAAGTGAGTTAACCTGTAAAGAGAGTCGAAATGAAAAACATACATGTGGAATAATTGCGCACAAATTTTTTTATAAGTGCATGTTTATCGTGTTGTAAATTTCTTTCTAAATTTCAGAATATCGGCCGAAGCAGATAACCTCTGCGAAACGTTTTTACCAAAAACTGTCTAGTTTGCAAGGTATTATCTATATGCTTTGAAATAGGACCTGAGTTGAGAGTTATGGGCAAAAGTTTATCCAGATCCGGAAGACACTCGCACACAGGCCGTGAAACACAAATTACAATTTCTCTTTTTTCATTATACAGGGTGCATCAAAAAAATGTCCCAAATGTAAAATTTCCGTTTTTCAGGATATTTTGCAGAATTTGGCAAGTTTTTGTGTTCCTAGAGATAGTTAAGACTTATCTGGTATACCTAGGCCAAGTTTGGTTTTTCATTAACAAAATTATGTTACCGGGGGGGTGGTTCCTTTCCACTAATATTGAGAGGGCTTGCGCGTGAAAATGTGAAGCTGAAATTGAGATATTATTTAAATGTCTAAAACTAGGAAAGCTTTTTAATAAACTGTCAAAGTTTCAGGAAAAATAATGCAAACTGCGAGCAACGCGCGATCCCTAAAAGCGACAAATATTTCATTGCGCGCAGTGAATTAAATGCATCGTTGATTTTAGCGTGACTGATCTCATGCAAGGCTGGGAAAATGAATAAATTAAAGCGAGAAACTGAACAAGAAGACGAAGCGATTTAATAACAAGATTTTTATTCTTGATGTAAATCCTCAACATTTCCACCATTTCTTTCTAAGCAAACTGTGGCTCGTCTGAGCATGGTAAACACTGAACGGCGAACCACATTTGTTTGTCCTGCCTCAAATTATCCGTTTCGTTCGAAATTCTTTCTTGCAAATCGCTTACGCTACCACCGGCAAATCTAGGCGAATGGACAGACAAATGGTTCGCTATTCAGTGTTTAGTATGCTCAGACAAGCTGCAGTTTGCTTGCAATGAAATGGTGGACATGCTGAGGATTAACATCACAAATAAATCGCTTTGTTTTTGTGTGCAGTTTCTCGCTTTAATTTATTCATTTGCCCAGCCTTACATGAGATCGGTCACGCTAAAATCAACGATGCATTTAATCCACTGCGCGCAATGAAATATTTGTCACCTTTAGGGGTCGCGCGTTGCTCCCAGTACGCATTATTTTTCCTGAAACTTTGACAGTTTATTAAAAAGCTTTCCTACTTTTAGGCCTTGTTCATATGACCCGGGCTGGCCCGCTTTGCCGGGCTAGCTCGCTTTGCCGGGCTAGCTCGCTTTGCCGGGCTAGTTTATTTTCTTATTCACATGAGGCGGGCTAGCCCGGTAGCGTTACATAATTTGTTGATGCTTCACAAATCGAAAAATGTTGCTTGCATCGATTACAACGGTTTGGGGCAGATATATTTTGTTAATTTTTGAAATGTGTTGTGTTCTTTTGGTTTGCAAATACATATAAAATGGCGAAATGATACTATGAAGGTATAATTGTAGAGAAAGCGATCGACCATTTTCAGCCCGGTTTACCGGGCTAGCCCGCCCAGTGCGTTCATATGAGCCCGTTTTGCCGAGATCTCGCCTCGCTCAAGCGAGATCTCGCCAAAGCGGGCTGGCCTGCTTTCCATGTGAATCAAATTTCAAAAACATATAGAAACAACTTAGGAAGCGGAATCTCGCCTCTAGCGAGTCAGCCCGGCAAAGCGGGCCAGCCCGGCTCATATGAACAGAGCCTTAGACAGCTAAATAATATCTCAATTTCAGCTTCACATTTTCGCGCGCAAGCCCTCTCAATATCAGTGGAAAGGAACCACCCCCCCGGTAACATAATTTTGTTAATGAAAAACCAAACTTGGCCTAGGTATACCAGATAAGTCTTAACTATCTCTAGGAACTCAAAAATTTGCCAAATTCTGCAAAATATCCTGAGAAACGGAAATTTTACATTTGGGACATTTTTTTTTAAACACCCTGTATAGGCACCAACGCAATTTTTGTTCGCACCAGATTTCCAAGGTAAAAGCCCCAGATTTTCATTTTAAGCAAAAGCAAGATAAGTTGACAGTTGTTATAGTTGCCACGGGAAGGGAAAATATGATATAGTAATTATACTTTGTACCGATTCTGAAGTAGTTGCTCACACGCAGTTCTTCTAAGAAACAATATACGCGTTGTTTTATTAGTCACAGAAGCCTAAATTTGGAGGGATTAGCCGGAAAAATGAATATCGACTAAACTTCTCCGGATCTCCGGTGTGCACAAAATTATCACGAACGATTTGCAATCAGGCCTTTCCAGAAGCAATCTGGGAAGCTCGAGGGAAATAGAAAT